GTGTATTAGGCAGGACAGGCAGTACAGAGAAGAAGCCTTGACAGGTTAGCAAATGGGTTACAGGCAAATGGAATTTGTAAGTAAAAAATTGTTTCAAATAAGAAGGAAAGAAAATCAAAAAGCTAAATTGTTTTTTCAGTCTTCCCCTTGTAATTACCAGTATGATTTTCTAAGTTTGCAGAGTTAAATAAAAATATGGAAAAAAGCAGCAACTTCTGCATCATATTGCAAACAGGGAATATTTTGGTAATAAGCTAGATCGCTGCCAGTAATTGTTTTATTCTTTAGAAACTTGAAAGGCAAATTGAGATAATAAATGTACCATGACAATTCAAATTTTAAGACAGTATATTTTATACAACACAGAAATTGCATTTTATTGATGGAAATGACTAATATGTTCTGAATGTGTACTTCATGTCAGTAGGAGCACACTAAAAGAAAACTGGTGATTGCAGTGGGTTGTATAAAATGTTTTAAAGGAGGCAGAACATACCTGATCTGTTTGTCTATGGTAAGATAAATGCCTTCACTGTATTAAAGTTGTCAGGATAATCCCATGGTAGCGTAGTTAAATGGATGATCCAGATTTGAGAGTTTGAGTAGTATATAGACCTTTGCTTTTTTAAGGCCATGGCAAATAACAATTCTTAATCTTTAACTTCTTTCAGAAGTACTGGGTGAGGAAGGAAGAATTAAAAAAAAAAGCATGTAATTTGCATTGTAAAAGACTAAGTTTACTTTTATTAGAATACTTTTACTGACAACTGTCTTTTCTGACACCAAATATAATATGTTTTTAAGGAGCAAAGCATAGTGTTGTTGGAATATAATGACTGTTGCTGCTTATTAGTTTCGTGTTCAGATAGGACTCACACAAAACAAAATGGGAGGAAGAATAGCCAATTTAAGGGGGAAAAAAGGTTCAACTACAGGGATTAGAATTTTATGATTTTCTGGAAAACATTACAATTAAAAATTCTGAAATAATATCTCTCCAATCCTCATCCTCCTAGCTGTTCTGCTAAAAATGCCGGTTTTAGCAATATGAGCACCATTTTAAAATTGATTTTTGATAGGTAGCTGATCTGATGTTGCCACCTCCGAATAGCAAAAGGATCATGAAATAACCTTCATAGTAGTTTGGGTGGTTTTGTTGGTTTGTTTTTTCTTTTCAGAATCACTGAAGAATTTAGTTTGGGAAGTGCCTTACAAAGTCATCTGGTCCAACCGCTTACTTGAAGCAGAGCTGACTTGGGTTGCTCACAGAATTTTCCAGCTGAACGTTGAAAATCTCCATGACATTTCTTAAACTCAGTGCAGTTTGCTACAGAATTATTCTCCCTCTCCACTTTGTGCTTACCTTTCCTTGATATTAGCCATGGTCCTCACCAGATCCTGTGGTGAGCCAGACCAGGAAATCAAACAGGCAGAAAACTAATGACTTTCCCCATGGATGCAATTTTTTAACCCAGCTGTTCATTTTCTTAAGAGTGGTTTAGATGTGGGTGTTTTCTTGGTAATAAAATGAGGTTGGCATAAATATATCAGCTCACACAACAGAGATCTGTGAACGCTGCTTGAATGCAGATATCTGTTCTTGTGGTACAGGAGACTTAGCAAATATGGCACCAAAATAGTTCGAAAAAAAATAACATAAATGCCATGACCAAAAGGTCACATCCGTACTGCCTTACAGTTACATGTACACTAGTGCAATAAGTAGCAGTCAGGAATAGGCCACCGTTGTTAGAAAAAGCAGTCTGGCTCTCAGCCTGTTTTTAAATTGCCCTAAGAAAGAGCGAGGGAGTTTGAGTAAGCTGTATTAACTGTCTTTTCAGGGATTGCAAGCCATTGACTGCCTTCTCCTCTAGAGAGTGGAGAGATACTTATTGCTGTACTGTGTAATACTGCATGTGTAGTCTATCTGGTACTCCCTAGAAGTGCTGGATTTATTGTGAATGCAGCGCAGACCAAACACCGTAATGCGGAGGATATAAAGCATGTGTTCCTCTTGTCATTAAAGTAAGTTGTGTGGCATGCCTGCTGGCAAGATATGATACTACTGGACAGGAAAACTGAAGATTTTGAAAAGGTAGGAGAGGAGGAGTAACAGAAAAAAGATGAGTGACTATTTAGTCTTTGGTCCTTCTCAAAAATAAGAATTTGCATAGTTTTATAATACAGCAGAGAGTAAGTGCTATTCTGAGTGGATACAGAGACAATGTATTTGAAAGTCTCTGGACCAAATAAGACCTATAGTCCTGAAAGGGATTTTACAAATTTGTATACAAATGTATGTGTGTTTGATAATCTTTAAAGCAAGCTGGGTAATTTCAGAAGCCATTTTTTTCCTCAAATAATTGTTTGGAATTTGTTCCTTTCTTAACTGTTCTGTATAGTGGAGATTAAGCTTAATGTTGTAGCTGTCTTGGTGTTTTCTTGTTTTCACTGCTGGGTACAGATTTTTCAAGTAAATTTCCTTTTTATCAGATCAGCTAAGTACGTATAGTTAGTGCAGAAATAGTAAGGGCATCACAGGTATATCCTAGCAGATTTAAAACTTGAAGTCAATTCAAAGTGATGTATGTATTATCTTTACTGTATCACAATGTTGTACTGTTTTCTGCCTTTTTCTATCACTTTAAGATAGTTTTAACTGAGTTGATACTCAAAAACATTAGTAAGTATTGTACATTTTTATGGCCATCATCTCGAATGTATTTCTGAAAACTGTTGTCGTGTGTGTATTTTTTGACTTAATATGTTTTCATTGTAATATCCTTCACAGCAAAATGTTTTCATATACAAACTGCTAGCCAATATGCATGCTTAGAAATAGTTTTGGTGTTAAGTTCTGTGACTGACAACATATATAGTGCATCTTGCTTGTGACTTCCGTGATTTTTGCATGTCATGGTTACTGTGAGTGTACTTGTCATCTATACACTTACTTGCAGTTACCACCATAATGACACAAAACAATATGCTATACGGTGGTATTTTGGCACTTTCACAAGTTTGCCTTTCTTATACGTGCATTTAGAAGGTATCATAAACTTGTCAAAAGCTTCTGCTAGAGTTGCTCATGGAAGCTGCTTGTCTCTATCTGTTCTATGTTATTCCTAATTTTTAGTGACTGTGGAGTTCATTTGCTTGCTTTTCTTTTTTGTTTTAGAAAACTTACTGTGAGTAGTAAGCTTCCAGGGTGATCAGTGCTGCCTGAGTGGAAAAATAAATGTAATAATTCTCTTTTCTCATTCTATAAAATGTTCTAATTTCATGCATCATCAATAGTCTGGTGGTAGTAATGGTAAATGTGACTGTACTAGTGATGTCACTGGTGTATGTTGTTCAGTTTTTGCACTTCTTCATAGTAAAGTCAATTATTAAATAATTCATTTCTGAAGCAGTGAAAGACTCCTCTTATATCTGCAGTCTACAATTTATCCCTTCCTATACAGTTTTTATTTTACTTATTTATTTTGAGCAGGAGAAAAAAAAAGCGCACTTACTACTTCCTGCTAATTCATAGTCTCTTTTTAAGCAATAAATTTTAATATTATTTTTAATAATCAAAATTCACTGAATCTTAATAATTTAGGCATAAAGGAGAGAGTATGAATTATATGAATGAGTAAGATGCAGGTGGTAATGCTGTGCATCTTGAGAGAAACAAGTCTGCTGGATAAAATAGTTAAGGTAATGGAGATATAATGGGAGTGAAAAAGGTAGATTAAGGAAATAAAAGCTGAAGGCACTACTGTCATGAAAAAGACAAAGTCTAAGCATATAGCTGCCGTGGCCCTTTATTTGATGCAATAATGCTATTAGCAGAATAGCTTTTGTTACTCGATTTAATATTTATACACGCGTAGTGACCCTGTTACTGGTTTTGGCCAAAAAGAAATAGCAGGGCTCTTGTGGAATTTGTGGTGTAGCTCATTCTCCTTTGTCCTATATGGAGAAAAATCTTAAATTAATTTGTAATTGCCTTGGAGGACTGGGTTTATGAACTACTGTAAATTTTTAATTTTTAATGACCCACTCTGTAGGCCCAAATTTAAAGAGCAGGTATCACAGAAATTCCTCAAAGGACTAGCATGCCAGTTTATTACTAACAAGTTGTATTAAAATTTTTTTGGGGGATAGAAGAATTTGGTGTGAACTAAATAATACAGGGAAATCTGGAGAAAACCTGCCTGTACCTTAGAGCATACTAGTCATTACGACTTAGCAGCTGTGAAACTTTGTAGATATGAAATTGGACTGTGATTGACTAAGAATCAAACTGTTTAATGTCTAATTTGTGAAAAATTTCTTGGGCGTGAAAAAAGATCTGCAACAACTAGTGTTGTGGATGTTTGTATCTGCTTGTCAAACTGGAGCAGAAATGGGTTGATACAAATAAGTGTGTAGCAGTATTCAAAAATGTAGTGAAATAAAAACTTTCAACAATATTGTTTCTATTTGCTTTGCAGTTCTGTAGACGAGAATTGGATGAATTTGAACAATGATTAATGTTAAACACGCAGCTTCCATTGCTTACTAACAATTTTGTTTTGCTGGCAAAACCAGTAACATCATTCTTGTTAGAACAACTGTCAGCTTCTGTGTCTTCTGATGACATATAAACTTCATGGCAAAGACCATATTCTCTCTGTCCTTTGGTCCTCCCAGGAAATCTACTCTTTCCTTAAGAAGTCCTTTGACAGAATATAAGTTGTATATTAAAATTAGCTTTCAAGTTTATTCAAGGAATTGTTTTGAATTAGTGACTCCAGAAAACTATAGAATGAAACTGGTTTTTGCAGAATATATTCTGTCTTTAAGATAGTTAGAAAAATCTGCAAAAGTTGTTTTATGATATGCCTGCCTTTATTATTTGGCACTGAAATTAGGGACTCAAAGTCATCTTCGCGCTTAAGTTGCGTTTAATTTTGTGAGTATAATCCCTAGGGCATAAATGTTTCTGATACAGTAAAGAATATGAAAAACATCTGAAGCTTTTAGTGTTGGTAAATTGCCATTGAATTTTTATTGCTGTCTGCTACACTTGGCATTTCAACAAAAATAGTAAGTTTGTAAGAGCACTTACCTCATGGAGGTACTTTTATTTTAGTCCTTAGAACTGAGAAGATATGAATCTAGAGAAACTGAAACACCTTGAGATTTTGGTTTTCCTTTGGCACATTGAGTAGTATATATTAGTTCTTCCTGCTTTCTGTTTTGTTTTGTTTTGTTTTGTTTTTTTAATAAGTCTTTTATCAAGCTTTGAATTTAATAAATAAATCCATGTGGCAAAGTAAGCAGATGGACCACGATGTCAAGTTACATGCAACCTCTAGGGAAAAAAAAACATCACTCGAATTTCTTGAGGTCATAGGGGACAGATCTTTGACAGTACTCTGGCTATGCTTGGAGCTAAGCTAAATCATGCTAGATAAAAACATCCTTGTCATCATATTTTGGCATTTTATTTTCCTTATGTATGATTTGCAGTATCAGTCTAATATATTCTTTCTTGAAATCTGAGTTTTCCAACAGCGAAAGAATTAGAAGTCTTTCTGATAAGTTAGTAAAGCTTCAGAAGTACAACTTAAGACTTGAAATAAAATAAAATTAGCTTTAAAATAAGATCTCATTTTACATGGAGAAAAGGTTTTGCACGTACGTAATAATGGCAGTCACCAGAGGGCAATGTTCATCTTACTTATTGTGTACCTGTTTGCAGTTGTATGCTGTTCAGTCTGGAAAATGAGGTTGAACTGTTGTATCTATGATGAAATTTATTTTGTGTGGAGCGGTTGTAAGTAGTATGTAATTTTGCCTTTCATTTTCCAACTGCAATACATTGCAAACTGGAAAAAAATATGAAGGATTTTGGTTAAAGCTCCAGAAGAGTTATTGATGTGCTCAATTCATTTTGGTCAGCTTCCCAAGGAATGTTCTGTGTGTACTCAAAATAAATTGTGGCTGCAAAGCCTTTTTGATCATGCATCAATTTCTTCTTCAATGAAAGCACATTTTGAAAAATTCCAATCTGCTCCTAAAATAAAGCTAACACTATCACGGCATACAGTGGTCTGTTATGTGTATTAAATTTTTTTTTTTTTTAAAAAAAAGAATCTCTCTTTGCTTGACTATATTAGTGAAAGGCGTGGTACTATCTAAAACAAATAACAGAAATACTACTTGTATCATATTTTTAAGTCACAGCAGTGTGTGCTCTATTGTGATTTAAGAGTCCCATGAAGAACCTCTGAGTATTATTGTAGCATATAACAAGGAAAAAATCAACAAAATACACATATGTACACAAAACCCCCAAACTTCTTTTTGCATTGATTTCAAACCAGGGTGAGCTGCATAATGCAAGTTTTTTTTACACCTGTGAACCAGTTTTCAGTAGGAATTTATGGACTTGATAGTATAAAATCGTGTCAGTGCAGGTAACCTATAGGGAAGTATTTTAGTTATGTTCATCTGCAATAATCAGGAAGAAAGGTTCATAAATCTTGTATTTTGATTTAAGGTCAGATCACCTGGTTCGGCTACGAAAGTCCTCGTAGTTTCTGGGACTACATTCGAGTAGCTTGCCGAAAAGTGTCTCACAATTGCATCTGCAGTATTGAGAACATGGAGAACGTCGGTTCTTCTAGAGCTAAGGTAGGGAAAAGAAAGGTCAAATTGACTTTTTTATTCTGTTGTCTGTGTAAAATATAGGTGACATTTCTGTACCCCAAAGAAAAAGATACTACTAAGCATAGCATGCCCCACAAAATTATTCATTGTTTGAAATAATTATTTTTATATGTTTCTAGCAAAAATTTACTTTTTAAAAAAACATTTTTAGATCTGAGTATTTCCTTTTAAATTTATGTTATTCAGTAGAATAAATCTCAAATTCTTTGTTCAGTGAGCATATTATAAAATTACTGCCTTCACATTTTTGAATTTACATAATTTTTTTTAAATGCAGTATGTTGAGGGAAATTAAGTTAATATGAGCAAGCCTGACAAATATTATTTTAAAATTGTAGAAATCTGATTTTTTTTTTTTCCCCCTAACCTAGGTATAATTTTATTTTGTATATAATTTATGCACCAATAGAAAACGTGTGATCAACTCCTGAGTTTGTTGGTGTGATTGTGCGGGAAGCCCTTAATAGATTAATTTGCTAATAAAGATCTATATAGAAATGACATCACAATTCCTGATTGTAGGTGTGATGGAAACATTAAGAAAGTAACAATTTAATGTGTTTATATGCATGTGAACTGAATAAGAATAAGCTTTAAACTGATCTACTGTTAAATCCTGATAGTGTAAGACAATACAGACCAACACATTTAAAAAAAAATACTGTTGGACAGAGATTACAAGTTCTTTTTAATAGATTGAAATGCTTTTCAATAATTTGTATTTCTGTGTAAAGCAGCCTTGACTGATAACTGAGAACCTTCTGACTTGAAAGTATGAGTGGTATAAAAGGATGCACAAATCAATGTTCTTAATTCTTTTTATTCCTAAATGAACTGGACTCAGTTATTTGAAAAAGTAGCTAAACTGTTCCATGGCTATTTTTAAAATCCTGTAGTTTCAGATTTTTATTTTACTCTGGATTATTCACAGTTGGTGTCATTGGTGAGGTGGAAATATTTAGCTTGCTATATGCAAAAACTTCACAGTTATTTTTTCAGGTGCATGTCTGTGGTTAATACAATTTAAGTTATAGGTATTTATGCAACCACCATTTTCTTCGATAAAAGATAATGCTTTGACCAAGCAGCACCATGAATCTAGTAGGTTGTTCTGATGATTGATCATTCTAGCAGCCGATCTGATGATCCACAGTAGTGCAGAACAGCTTATTTGCTATGTCTGCTGTTGCTCCTTTCTTCTTTTGTATAGGCTGTTTTAAATTTTATATAGTTAACATATCTCTGATTTGTGTGAAAGCTTTGAAACACTTGAGATTCTATGGCAAAAAGCTATTGACTGGTTTTCCGATCCAGAATATTACATTCAAATTTGGAGAACTTTATTTCACAATAAATTTTATTTGTAAAAATACATCTTCTGTTTTCATTATTACCATAATGAAGTACATCAATTTCTGTTTCATGATAATTTTGTTAATCCGTTCATTTCACCCAGGTAAATCAACTGTATTTGTTTTCAGATGTAAAATTAAGTGTTTCATTCTATAATACTTAAATTTTTTTATGTTTCTTCTTGCAGGGTCGAGCCTGGATCAGAGTAGCACTTATGGAAAAGCATTTGTCTGAATATATTTCCACAGCTCTGAGAGACTTCAAAACAACCAGGTCTCTCAGACTTTTATTTTTGCAATATTTTAGTAAATGTTGCGTAAGTGAGGGGCTTAGATTTGAAAGTGAATGTTCCTCTTGATTGTATAGGAAAGGATGTCACTAGTAAAACAGCTGAAACCTGGTAAAAGGTATTTGGAGTTGGTATCAATTGATTGGATTTTAGCATGGGTTAAACAGCAAAATGAAAAATCCCTTTGTGATTTTAAAAATGTGGAAATAAGTCTAGAATTCTTGAAAGGTCAGAAGAGAAGGAAACCTCTCTAAAGAAGGAACTAATTTTGAAATTGTCATGTGATAAGGATAGAAGTTGTAATGTTTCTTTCAAAATTAGGTATGGTTGACAGAAAGCCCTAGAGACTCAGTAAAAAATAATTTTTATAGGAATTTTTCTTGGAGAAGAAAGGAAGAGAATTCCAGGAAACTTTTGAGAAATAAAGAAGAACAGAATTAGTGATCAGGCATAGCTAGGATGCTTGATGTAATATGAAAAATGTGTAACAGATTTTTATTGTACCTTCTAACAGTAAAAGCTGTTATGGACAAGAATATGCTTTGTGATAGAAAATACTCTGGCAGTTTTGGACCGTTTCTATATAATGTGATTCTCATACGATGCTTCATCCTGTAACAAGTGTGTATTGTAGATTCATGATGAAGTCATCTAAATATGAATGAGTCTGTAACGTGTTGTGGTACCTTATGTTGAACTCTAAAAGCTTTGGACACACTGAATGGACTATTTAAACAGTAAGAGTTTTCTTTGTAAGGACTTCTGGTCATTTAGAATAGTATTTCTGTTTGTAATACTATTTGTCCACAGATCTTCATATATTTTGCCAATATTAAGGTGACTTTGAAACACAACTAGCTAAACTTCTCATTTTATTGAACTTTCCAGACCTGTTGTTGTATATTTTACCCAGATTTGCTTGCATTTACAGTAGATACAGTAGATACTCATAAAACAAAGATTTTTGGAAAATATTTACTCATATTGCCTCACACTGAAAAGTCACTTGGGTTTTTGAGGGGGAGATGAGGAGGAAGACGAGGGTCACAAACTATGTAGTTAAGTAGTAAATTCTTTGTCCATGTTTGATAGTGCAGTTTGTTTTCTGGTGGATAACAGTGGTATTATTTTATTAGCAGTTTTAAATTCATTTATTTAAACATGTTAATGCTTCATATGTTTGAATGTTCTTTCAGTGGTATAGCTTTTGGAAACAACTTCTCTTGCATTCCAAACATAGTGAGTGCAAAGTTTGTTTTGAAGTAATACTTTTAAATACATCTTATGGAAATAAAAGTTACAATTTGAGATCTTGGCAGAGCGGATTTCAAATTCACTAGCAATAACAGACACGCTCTTTTTCCCATGTGGGATTTTGGATACCTAATAAGTGGCCTGATTTTTTTTGGTGATGCTTTGCACCATTTATTTGGCATTTTAAATTATGTTTTGTGCTATATGTATATTTAAAAAATATTTATATAAACTATAAATATCATATGTTACACGTGTGTATGTAGAATATGAGATTCATCCATCATACTGCTAGCTCTTTATAAACCTCGCTGTTGTGTTTAGATGCCTGATCTTAGAGCTAGTCCTTTAATGAAGCAGCACGTTATTAGTGCTGGATCTGCATCTTACACTTGGAAGGGGGTTGTATTAACCATATGAAACAATTACATTTCTAATGAATTGGTCAGCACAGACTCTTAAAGTAGACTATTCTGCAGTGAGGTGTCAACTGCATAACACTGAAAGCAGATTTGTGAGTTTTCCAAGGGCACTGTTGTTCTGGCTGGATTTCTCTTGCTGGTTTAAGAAATGTTGCCAGAAACTGAATCAGACTGTCAAGTCCATCTAGCTCAGTATTCTGTCTCAACCAGTGGCCAGTTTAGCCTTCTGGTGCCCTTCCTGGAGTCAGAGGATAGAAAGCTGAGTCTGTACATCATAGCCTCAGTGTCAGGATGCTTGTCTTCCCAGAGGAAGTCTTCCAGATTTCTTGCTTCCACTAAGAACATCCAAAGTCTTGAACAACGCATTTCCTTGCAGCAAATGAATATCTGTTACGAAAATGCAAAAGTGGATCTTCTGGCAATATGCATTATAATACAGTTCAATCTTTGGAGCTGTGCCCCAAAATGTGTCTCTTCTGGATGTTTGCCATGCAGCTAACTCAAGCTCCACTGAACCATCCCAACGCTTTCATGCAATTCTTAAGAGATGGAGCTTTTGGTAAGGCAGTGTCGCTGGTATTTGTCTGAAAGATAGGTTGCTTTCAATAGCCTAGCACCTTCTTGCAATCATATATTGCTAGAATGTATAGGTGAACTGTGCATCTCAGTTTCTGGTAAGTGACCTTTAAACCTTGCCTTTGGTACTGGATACCTCTTGGTTTCCCTCTTTCCACGTGTAACGCTCAGGTGAATTCTAGTGACCTTTCTGCCTCTGCTTCTGTGTCCTGGTTTCAGCTGGGACAGAGTTAGCTCTTCTTTTTAGCAGCTAGAAGAGCTCCGTGTCTTGGTTTTACTCAGAAGCTCACTCTGAGAAGAAAGCAAGTTGATGTTTGAGACTCCAAGGACTTTTCAGTGTGCCGAAGTGCAGAAGCACGGCGGTATAAGGGGGGAGCATAGCTGGGACAAGGGCGACACGATTCCCCTTGTGATTTGTGGTGGAACTTAAGATTGAGGGCCAAGCTGGCCAATTAGCATTCCATATCACGCAGCGTCATGCCCAGTATAAAAGTGAGGGTCAGCCGGGAAGAAGGGCTTTTGCGCTTTGGCTCTTTCGCCGCTTTTGCTCTTTTGCACTTCTGCGCTTTTGCTCTATTGCCTTTTTTTCCTCTCTCTCCCAGTACTCCCACTCTCGGAGTACTGTCTCTCTCTCTCTCCCCCCCTCTCTATTTCGGGGCCTCGCGTTCGTCCGGGATTGCAGCTTCGGGACGAGACGGGCTTTGCATACGAGGGGGTGGTGAGCATCTACCCTGTGTATTATATCATCTGTATTAAATTGTTCTTATCTCAACCCATGGGTATCCCATTTATCCTTTAATTCTCTCCCTCATCCCTGGGGCTGGGGGAGGGTGAGTCAATGACTGGGGGGGGAGCGGTTTAGTTGCTGGAGCAGCCTAACCCACAGCATTCTGCCAAGACTCCTTTAACACAGAAATTGTGCTACTTTGCTGAACAGACAAAATGCCTTTTTTACAAGGCCATACATGACAATGGTGGGTCCTATTTGCCTGCCGTGTGCATGGAAGATTTCTGTCTGGAAGTAGCTTCTGCAGTAGCTGGGAGAAGAAAATTAGAATATATGGGAGAGAATGGGAATGTGGTGAGGAAATGCAGATTTTTAGAATCGTTGCTTTATTGCTCACTCTTCTCAAGCAGCCTTCGTATAAGTCTACATATACCAGGGTATGTGAAGTGTGTTTTGAGATCAAGCCATGAAATTCTAAAACTTTGACCAGCAGGTGTTTTACAATTTAAAATGTTGTTAAGAAAACACTTATTCTTCAAATAATGAAAATTTTAGATCTCAGAATAACTGGATGCAGCATGCATCTTCCCAGCACGCAGGATTTTAAGAAAAAGTATGCTACCTGGAAAACAGCTGATTTATGGAAATATTTTTTAAAAAAAATAATCAGCTACTAAGACTGGAGAATGAATGTTGAACATCAAGAGAGCCTGAAAGTACAATTTTGAAGGATAAGGTTTTTTTCATACGGTGCAGTAATGATTTCTTTATGTACGTGACACAAATTCTTCCTTTTGGCAGTAAAGTGTAAGATATCTTCATCATTTTCTTTGTATTTTGTCCAACCCGTTCTACTATTTCTTAGGGCTAATATTGTGAATTCTTTTTGCTTCTATCTAAATTTTTATGTGCTCTAAGATAGTGGTGTTTTATGCTGTGCAGTCTATTGGTTTGCTTTATTTGAAATGAAATATGTATGCCCCTGGGGTTCACGAGTTGTTTTTATTTAAACTGGATTTCTTTAGTTTTCTTTTAACTATGAGAAACATTATTATTATTTGAGAGAAAATAGTATTAACTGAACTAATTTCTTTTTTATTGAAGGAGATTTTATGAGGATGGAGCAATTGTTCTTGGTGAAGAAGCAAATATGCTTGCTGGTATGCTGTTGGGACTCAATGCAATTGATTTCAGGTATTATATTTGCATTCTTCATAACAAAATGCTCAGGGAAAGTACTTATAAATCAGTGCATTATGGAAAACATTGTTAGATTCTCTTGATAGTTTGAAAGACAAAACTTAGGTGAGGGGGAAGGAGGAGAAGGAGGGAGAGAGAGATCTTGAATGGCTCTTCTAGGTAAGAACAAAGTTATGCCATAGTTTATGTAGCTGCATGATTAAAATCCTGAAAGCAATCAGAGGTATAATTGCAGAAGATATATCAAACCTATTAAGCAAAGCTTGTAGACAATTGAATCTTTTAAAGTTATTCTTACACTGTAAGGAAAACTGTGTGATTAAGTACGTGATTATGCCCTGATACCCAGTGACAGCATTGCAACTGCATATGTAGAAGGTGTATCTTTAACTTTAGCACTTCTAGATTTTTAAAACTTAGCCTACAAATTACTGTTTAATATCAATTTGTGTTATAATTAACTGGAGCTGAACTGCAAAGTATCATCAGATTACATGAATTTACCTTTGCAATCTCTAGGTAGGCTTTTGTGTGCTTTGTTATACAATTAGTTCTGTATTTTGGGGTAATGAAGGTCCAAGCACACCCTAGATAATATAAAAGCATATTGGTGTATATATAAATGTAATAAATAAATATATTAAAAAAACATCAGCAAGGTGTAAAGACTAAAGTGCTTGTGAAAAGATCAAACATGGCTGGTGCAAGGCCCTGTTAACGTGCCTGGTTGGGCCCGCTTAGCCTCATACAGAGCCACTGGGGAAGGCTTTCCTAGTACAGCGTAGGGAAAAAGAGAGCGATAATGCTTTTCTCCATTCTCCTGGCTGTACGCCGTTAATATTTACCCCGAAGCAGCATTAATGCTTGTCACAAACCAGTTTAGGAGATAAACTGGCAGAAAAAAGTACATAGTCTCACTGGATGCACTGACTGATTGACTGTTGCCAAAAGGCCTTTGGAGATTTACTCCTGTTTATGTAGTCTTATACCAGTTTCAAGGCTTGCTGGATTCTTCTGTGAGCCACCTTCATTTGTTAAAGAGTAGAAAAATATACCCAGTAAGAAGACAGGATAGTTCTTTTGTTGTTAGCTAGTTTGGTTCACAGAAGCATCCTATTAGTGGCAGAGATGATGGGACCATAAGGCTTATAGAAGAGAAGGAATAAAAAGGATTGAGCGATGTCATAGAATGGTTTGGATTGGAAGGGACCTTAAAGATCATCTAGTTCCAACCCCTCTGCCACAGGCAGGGACACCTTCCACTAGACCAGGTTGCTCAAAGCCTCATCCAACCTGGCCTTGAACACTTCCAGGGATGAGGCATCCACAACTTCTCTGGGCAACCTGTTCCTTTCTGGTGACAGTGAGCATTTAGCTCAGCTGACTGTGTCTTGGTGGCCTAACTAGCTCATTGTGGAGTCAGATAAGTGCCAATACCACTGTAAGGAGAGGAAAGAGAATGTCTGGTTGGGGTTTTTTTTAAAAAAAAAAGAAAGAAGAAATGGGAAGGGAGAGGTTGAAAACACAGGATAGCTTCTTTTGCCAGTATTTAGTCATTAAATTGGCTTAACTGCATCCTCAACATATGTTCTGGGGGAATGGAATTGTGCTGCAGGATAAGAGAGCTAGCCTTGTGTACAGCAAATTTTATTAGTTTAAGCTTTACACTATGTGAAATTAAACGGCTTCTGTATTAGACTATACTTGGAAGGACTATAGCTATACATGAATAAGAAGCATAGCAAGAGTAGATCTGCAGTATGTAAATCCTTCCATAAATAATCATCAATTGTCTGTGTTTGACTCACATAAGCCTCAGTGATACATACTACTAGTATAAAAGCTTAGTTGTATGAGTGCGCTTGTTCTTCCTTTGTCCTCTGATTTCTAATATAAGCATATCTATTAATAGTATTCAGAGTAGTGATTGGTTCTTGTTGGGGACATTTAAGTTTCTGTCAATGCAGCTTTTAAGAGCCTAGAAATTTTCTGGGCAAAATAGGAGCATAGTGGTACAGGAGCATTTTTATTTTGCCACATGTAATTCATAATATTGTGGTTTGAATGGCTAAGAAGCTGTAGCCATTCTTTGCATGTTATATTTGAGATTTTTTCTTTTCCATTTCAAACAGTTTCTTATAAATGTTGACTGGCTTATCCATGTGGAACTCTAAATAAGACTTTGGGGTGGAGATGGGGGAACCCAGGTGAGAACAGAATCTGAATATTTTCCCCCTCCTCACAGCAATGCAGTGTTATGTATCTACTTCAAATAGTTGTGGTTTTGCAGGGGTGTTTTTTGTTGTTTTCTTTGCTTCTCTTAGGGGGGGGAAAAAAAACCCCTTCAGATGTGCTTCCCGAATACCACTTAAGTGACTGCATGGTCAAAAACGGCACTTTGCAATTAAGTTAGCAAAAGCTGTGTCTTACTAGAATCTGTTTTTTGATGACAGAGATAAGAGGAGTGAGGAATATAAGCCTTATGGAAGTATAATTAATTTTGTCACTTCTATGATAATTAAACATGATTCAAACATAATCTTTTATATCTAGTACAAAAAGAATACAGTGTAGATGAGAGCTTTATAAAGCTTCAGCCGTTTAAGAATGTTTTCTGAAAGTTAGTTTCGTTAGTGTTCCTCATCTTCCTGCTGCCCAACACCAGGAAGTATCTGAAAGGAAAAAGACTGAAATATTTCTGAGAACTGATTTTTGACTTAAAGTTAGGATGGTTACATAAGCAGTCTGCAAACACTTTGAACAAGCTTATATACTGAAAGTTCCAAGCTTATTCAGAGCTCTTCCATTTCTCTTGCTTCAGCTGACTTTTTTTCCTGTTATTCCCTTGCAATCCATCTGTATTTTTAGAATAAAAGCAAATATTTAAAAATCAGGGTTTATACCACTTGCCCTAATCTATTCCCTGATTACGTGAAATTTCTGTTTGTTGGGGTTTTCATTATTCTGTAATGTGCTTAGGGACTCTCATTTAATATTAAACAGTCTAGCTCGGCTGAGTAGGATTTCAGCGTTAAATACTCTAGGCCTTTCTTATTACCAAAAAATTAAGAAAAATCAAATTTCACATTGATAAGATTCAACTGTCATTTGATTTTTTTTGTTATAATCTTATCATTGTTTCTCTGTTTTACCAGTTTTTGTCTGAAGGGTGAGGGACTGGATGGCAGCTTTCCAGCTGTCATAGATTATACGCCGTACTTGAAGTTCACCCAAAGGTACTTTTTATCATCACACCACTTTTTTTAGTTTTTTCATTGGTAAAATTTTACTTCATACTGAACCTCTCTTCCTTTCACATTCAAAATAATATCTATATCTAAATACAAAGTTGTACACTCAGCTACCTTGCTCTTTCAGACCGGTGTAATTATTACATGACTCATCAGAGTGAGTCATGCTAACTTTGTTTACTTGATTTAGAATCGCAGT